AAAGAAAAAACAGGTTACACAACAATAAACAAACCTAAGCCCTTCTTTTCTATTTTTTTTTTAAAGAGCTAACATTTATTGAGCACTCATCTGTACAAGGCACCCTGTTAACAGATTTATGAGAAATTATCTCATTTAATCATCACAAATACATTCTAAGATATGTACTATTTTACACCCATTTTTCAGGTGGAAAAAAACTGAGGCCTAATAGATTAAGTAAGGTGATACAGTCAAGTAAGTGACAGAGCTGGGATTCAAACCTAAGTCTGTGTGATACAACACCCTCAGCTCTTCAGGTTATCTTTATGCAATATGTATACATGTGTAGGAAAAGATATGAAAGGAGGAAATAATGGCAAATGGTGGTATAGTTCATGTTATTTTCCTGATCTGTATTTTACAAGTTTTCTTTTTTTTTTTCCTTTTTGTCTTTTTTCGTGACCGGCAACGGATCGCAACCCTCNAAGAGTTTCGTTTTGGGATGCATGGAATTTGCCTGAGCTAATACAAACAGAACTAATATGAATGGAGAAGAAGTTGTCAAAAGCTTCTGTTAAGTCTGGTGAGAATTTAAGCTGGGAAAGACAGATTTTGCAGACATCAACATATAGATAATGGATGAAATTATAGGAGTAGATGAATCTCCCTCAAAAGGAATGAGTAAATGCAGAAAAGTAAGCATAAGTTTCTCTTCTAACATTAAAAAAAAAGAAAAAATCTTGTTAATAATGTCCAGGTTCTAAAGACCATATTTTAAAAACCCATATGTATAATGAAGAGGGAAAAAAGAAAAAATTTTCATGTCTCTTCAAAAGTATCATTTCATACCATGAAAACACTAGAAAAAATGTTGGAAAATATGTATGTATTGGCATTAGGGAATATAGAAAAGTTATAAACAACGTGGATTCTCAAGCCAAAAAACCTAGGTCAAATCCCTGCTTCCTGTGCTACCAATCACAGCAAGTTACTTAACCTTTCTGTACTTCACTCTCCTTATCTCTAAAACGGAGATTATAATAGTACTTATCTTGCAAGGCTGCTGGGGCTTTTAGAAAATAAAGTTATTTATTACAATGCCTGGAATACAAGAAGCACTCAGTAAAGTCAGTGTAAAGAAAAAACAGGTTACACAACAATAAACAAACCTAAGCCCTTCTTTTCTATTTTTTTTT